GATTTTTATTTTCCTTGAACAGACAGATCGATGATCTCAATGATTCCAGCAAATAATTGAGTTATTTTAGAGTTGACATGTTACACGGGTATAAAGGGGTCGTCCAGTGGTTCTGTAAATATGGTCAGCTAGTCGTCTTTTACAAAGGTCATCCAGTGCCCCTGTAAAAATGGCCCTCCAGTGCCCCTGTAAAAATGGCCTTCCAGTGCCCCCGTAAAAATGGCATTCCAGTGCCCCCATAAAATTGGCCTTCCAGTGCCCCCATAAAATTGGCCTTCAAGTGCCCCTGTAAAAATGGCCTTCAAGGAATGGTTTTGTAATGCTGACTGAGCTAAACTCGATGTTCAGCATTTATTACTGCCGAGCTTTTTTCTTCCTTAGATATTGCAGAAAGCAGATACATTCCATCAATAATGTTTTGTTTCTTTGATACAATGATTGATATTATCTGGTACAATGAGTTGTATCATCTGGTACAGTGAGTTGTATCATCTAGCATAGTAATTTGTACTATCTGGTACAGTAATTTGTATCAATTGGTACAGCAAATGACGCATTGAGTAGTAATAAGACAAAGGGGGAAAAAATGACATCAACCTAACATTTGCAAAAGAACAAAAACCATTCAATATGAAGTAATACTGTTTATTATAAGTACGTTTTTATTTTTTTTAAAGAACCCAAACCCATGCGACAATCTGACAACAATGCTGCTTATTGTTAGAAGGGAGAAAAGGAAAAAAAACGCCGAATTAGGCTAAGCTTTCCGAGATAAGGTAACGGGCTGCACACGATAAGTTATCCAAGTTGTAGCCAAGTGTGTTGTCGGCTAAAATGGCGGGAAAATACGGGTCGAATCAATACCTGAGTATTTACTTTTTAAGCTTTTTACAACTTACGCTAAGGGTGACCGGTAAAATGGAATGGAATCAGCCCCTTTCATAAGCGATTTCACTTTGAGAGGCATTCTGTATTTTAAACACGCTTCTTCTTAATATGTTGAAATGTCCGTTGGGGGGAGGGGGAGGGGAATGTATTTTGATCAAATCTCGGAACTCACTATTGACGCATTTCTAATAGAACGATTGCTTTCGAAGTTTGCATGTAAAAAAAATGAATACAAGGCCACTGGACTACCCTGAAAATTTCTTCAGTGCCAAACACTTTTACTGTTGTTAAGAAAATTTCTAAGTTTGTTATTTGTATTATTAGTGCATATTAACTATTGTTATTTTGAGCGCATCTTTCATCCGTAAATTATTGGTGAAATTTGACCTTAAACACGTTTTAGGATAAATGCGTTCGGTGTGTTAACTAATGTTAAGACATTCAAAGACATAGATCTACAAAATTCAAATTCAATCCCGAAGCATAGAAAAAAAACTATTTTAAAATGTAATTCCGCTTGTAGCTGTACATACAACCTAGTTTCCCGCCTATTGTTGGTGATAATTAATGACACCAAGTTCTAAAACACCAGGATTTATCAGACACACATAACGGAACTCAACTACTGGTCAGCGGTGCATAGACTATTGGTTTTTTAATGTTAGCAAGGTCAAACAACAACACTCAATCATCGTGGTATGTTCGCACGTTATTGTATATGACTATATATTTTTTGCTAGATGTAGACTAGATACTCTAGTTTAATGATGTATTTCCATTTGTGTTTAATGTAAGCAGGTACCCCAATCATATTTTAAAAGCCCTCGATTATAGGCACTAAGGGCGGCCAAACAAAAAACAAAGAATTGGTTAGTTCATGGGTCTACCGTGATATCAATGGCGTGTAAGTCACGTGGTTTATTTCCACCAATAAAAGTTTCACACCTGGACCCTTGTAAGTGTCCATTAAAAATTAGCTATGTAGGCTAGGGCTTCAGTTGCCAGCCTATTTTAAACCGAATCTAATGCTAAATATTGACATAAAATATCATACAAGTGAAGACAAAAAGAATATATCAACAAGATTTAGCAAATATAAATGTTTATGTCAGAAATACAGAAAGTGTTTAACTAATGCTCAAAAGAAGAATTTGGTATACAATAGATAATTTGATCGTGATTGACCAGCAAGTTCAACCAACGGCCCGCGGGCCTTTACATGGTTCAGACCGCAGACCTACAGGTAATGTAAACGGTGGGCAGCTGGCTCAGCTACAAATCTCTGCAGCAGTTGCTGTAAGTTTAGCCTGACCTTTGGGGGATTAACAGGTCGATTTTTGACTGACAACAAGAGTTGAAGTTACGTTAAGAGGTTTCCGTATCATGGTGTAGTGTATAGAGTATGACTCTTAATCAGTGGTTTGGGTCGACGGGGTTAATTGTTTATTTGCTTCAACAGCAGTACAGGCAGCTACACTAACATCCCCGACAATGTGGACAGCTACACTAACATCCCCGACAGTGTGGACAGCTACACTAACATCCCCGACAATGTGGACAGCTACACTAACATCCCCGACAATGTGGACAGCTACACTAACATCCCCGACAGTGTGGACAGCTACACTAACATCCCCGACAATGTTGACAGCTACACTAACATCCCCGACAGTGTGGACAGCTACACTAACATCCCCGACAATGTGGACAGCTACACTAACATCCCCGACAATGTGGACAGCTACACTAACATCCCCGACAATGTGGACAGCTACACTAACATCCCCGACAATGTGGACAGCTACACTAACATCCCCGACAGTGTGGACAGCTACACTAACATCCCCGACAATGTGGACAGGACAGCTACACTAACATCCCCGACAATGTGGACAGCTACACTAACATCCCCGACAGTGTGGACAGCTACACTAACATCCCCGACAGTGTGGACAGCTACACTAACATCCCCGACAATGTGGACAGCTACACTAACATCCCCGACAATGTGGACAGCTACACTAACATCCCCGACAATGTGGACAGCTACACTAACATCCCCGACAATGTGGACAGCTACACTAACATCCCCGACAGTGTGGACAGCTACACTAACATCCCCGACAATGTGGACAGGACAGCTACACTAACATCCCCGACAATGTGGACAGCTACACTAACATCCCCGACAGTGTGGACAGCTACACTAACATCCCCGACAGTGTGGACAGCTACACTAACATCCCCGACAATGTGGACAGCTACACTAACATCCCCGACAGTGTGGACAGCTACACTAACATCCCCGACAGTGTGGACAGCTACACTAACATCCCCGACAGTGTGGACAGCTACACTAACATCCCCGACAATGTGGACAGCTACACTAACATCCCCGACAATGTGGACAGCTACACTAACATCCCCGACAATGTGGACAGCTACACTAACATCCCCGACAATGTGGACAGCTACACTAACATCCCCGACAGTGTGGACAGCTACACTAACATCCCCGACAGTGTGGACAGCTACACTAACATCCCCGACAGTGTGGACAGCTACACTAACATCCCCGACAATGTGGACAGCTACACTAACATCCCCGACAATGTGGACAGCTACACTAACATCCCCGACAATGTGGACAGCTACACTAACATCCCCGACAATGTGGACAGCTACACTAACATCCCCGACAGTGTGGACAGCTACACTAACATCCCCGACAATGTGGACAGCTACACTAACATCCCCGACAATGTGGACAGCTACACTAACATCCCCGACAGTGTGGACAGCTACACTAACATTATGGACAATGTGGACAGCAACACTAACATTATGGACAATGTGGACAGCAACACTAACATCCCCGACAATGTGGACAGCTACACTAACATCCCCGACAATGTGGACAGCTACACTAACATCTCCGACAATGTGGACAGCTACACTAACATCCCCGACAATGTGGACAGCTACACTAACATCCCCGACAGTGTGGACAGCTACACTAACATCCCCGACAATGTGGACAGCTACACTAACATCCCCGACAATGTGGACAGCTACACTAACATCCCCGACAATGTGGACAGCTACACTAACATCCCCGACAATGTGAACAGCTACACTAACATCCCCGACAATGTGGACAGCTACACTAACATCTCCGACAATGTGGACAGCTACACTAACATCCCCGACAATGTGGACAGCTACACTAACATCCCCGACAATGTGGACAGCTACACTAACATCCCCGACAGTGTGGACAGCTACACTAACATCCCCGACAATGTGGACAGCTACACTAACATCCCCGACAGTGTGGACAGCTACACTAACATCCCCGACAGTGTGGACAGCTACACTAACATCCCCGACAGTGTGGACAGCTACACTAACATCCCCGACAATGTGGACAGCTACACTAACATCCCAGACAGTGTGGACAGCTACACTAACATCCCCGACAATGTGGACAGCCACACTAACATTATGGACAATGTGGACAGCTACACTAACATCCCAGACAGTGTGGACAGCTACACTAACATTCCTGACAATGTGGACAGCCACACTAACATTATGGACAATGCTGTTTGTGTGACGAAAGTGATAAACGAGCAATCTTACCAAAGATTTATGAATACGGGTTTGCTTAAAGTGAATGAACGCGATTTGCCAATACGTTAAACACAAACACATAAACTAACATTTGTCAATACAATGGGTAGTATCTGCTTGTTGATACATTAGCGGTTCTACGATAGTTTTATTTGCTCTTCATAGACAAGAAATTCGACAAGCAAGTTGTAAACTTTCAAAATACCCCCCACCCCTTCCTTCCCCCCCACTTTCTATCCGACCCTCTACCACCTTTTTTCGAGGAGGCCCGCGCGGTGACAGCCTGTCGTGGTGACCGCTCGCGACAGTCGTGGGGCCGCACCAAGCCACCCGCTTCCCTCCCGCTGCTAAATTTAGAATCCAGGTTACAGGAGGTTTTTCTTCTCCACCTAGGAAGAAAAGGGAGGGGTGGGCTGGGAGCTGCGGCACTATAAGAGGGGGTGAAGCATTCCGTTTTCTGTATCATTGACATGTAGAAAGGTCCCAAACTAGGCGACCCGCCGAGTGATAAAAATACAAGCGTGCTAGCGCGAGTTAACAGTACCGCGCAGTGTAGTAGAGCTGCCTTCACTAGCCACAAATACGCCGTGTCGGTGCGAAGTCTAGACTTTTTAATTCAGTCGCGCAGCAGATTTAATAAGCCAGATTTTTTTTCCCCTCTTCATTCGGAAGGACGGTGTAGCCAAGTTCTGTTGACGAAGTTAGAAGTTTAGTGTTACAGGAAAACAACAACTCAAGTCACGATTCGATTCAATCAGGAGTGGTAAAATCAAGGTGTTTGATTCGTGTGGCCACTGTTAAAGCCCGCACGGAAGTAAACCAGGAAAACTATCCGACAAGTGGGCTGTGTGGTCTAGCCTACATACAGCGGATGGACACATTCTGGACCATAGGTTCAGACCTCCAGGCGGGATAAGCGTCACACGTCTGTGTTGCCGTCTGCACGAGCTAACTGAAAGCTGCTTAATCGGGACTAATCCGCAGATTAGTCTCCTCTCCACCTGGATTATTTGGACTGCTTTATTCAACACATCTCGACCACAGTGTAATGGCTGGCTCAAGTGTTGTGGTTCACGGCGCCAGGCAGCGACTCTGGCATTACTTGATCGTTGGAACTCTGCTGCTCCACCAGACCCAGGGCGACCAGGTAACGGCAATCTAACGTCTGCTTCAGCCTCTTCTTTTACTTACTCGCTCTCTAGACTCCAACATCACATATTTAGATGTTCCCCTCTATCCATACTAGATCTACATTCTATTTCTCCTAATGTTATTAAATATGCTGCTGTTATAGAGGGCCGCTGGGTGATTCAACCGTAGAGCTAAGTGTGAGGGACTAGGATGGGGGATGGGTTGATGGTCAATGGCTCTAGACCGTCCAGGAATTGGAGGAATAGACGTGTTCATGTGTCACACATAGAGAAGGGCCGAGGACGGGCGTTGTTACTGTGGTGTAGTGGGATAGAGAAGGGCTGAGGACGGGCGTTGTTACTGTGGTGTACCGAACATAATTGCCGTGTTCTGGTTGTATGTCATGTAAGCGTGACACCCCTCCCCTCCTGAACACCTCACAAGTAAAGGAAAAGCCCTTGTTCCCCCCGCTCATAAATTATCCTGGAATTGTCTCATGTCGTACGTCTGGCTTGATTAGACTTAGGGACAACACCAACATGACACTCCGCCACAGCCCCGTCCCCTGTCCTTGCTGAACTTTGTAAAACAGATTTTCTTTACTTTCTAGCGATTCAACTAGTCCACCCTTCCTTCTCAATTGTTTTACAACCCCACCAATGTAGGTAATCAATCGTCTCAAGTGCTCAAATGTGTGCATATGATAATGAACACTAGTGACCTTTTTAATACAGACACATCCAGATCATTATAAGACTTTAAATACACGAACTAGCTGCCCCTCTTTAAAGGGATTTTAAATGCAACCGGTATTAAAATTAAAATATAAAAAAACGTGGGAGGAAAAATTGAAGAGAAGAGCACGCTGAATGAATGAATTTATCTCATCAAGAATTACAAATATTTAAACTTTGTTAGGTAGAGATAAAATTAGCCGGTTAAACTTTGAGCGTGTATGTGTGCTGTGTAAAGGGGGGGGGGAGATGTGTAACTTGATACATTGGGATGACATGAACGATACAGGAAGAATGTATGGCCTAGGATGTTCTCGCATTCATAGCAGGATACACTCCACTGTGTTTTCCGTTAGACATTTGCTTATCCGCAAGCCACTTTTATTCACTAGCCACTGTATTATCCACAAGCCAATGTTTTATCTGCTTGCCACTCTTATCCACTAGCCACTCTTTTATCCGCTAGCCGCTATTATCTTTTCACCGATACTCAAGTAGCAACTAATCAGATAGCAGGCTGCAAGTGAATGTCCTTTTTAATTGTAAATAAAAGATAAAAGGGGAAAATACCGTGGTTATTTGTCTGTACAGAAGGAACAGACGTAGAATTAATGTGAACATTGTGAGGATAAAGATGAGTTTATATTTTAAACAAAGTTTTAAAAAGTAGATTACATAGATTAATTATGTTTCTCTACAACTCCAGTAATGATAGAATCCTCTGAAAGCATCTGTAAAAGAGAAATAGTTGAAACTAAGGCCGATGTTGAGGTACCTGTGGTAACGAAGCGATGGATCACATCATTAGAACTGGTGAGTGGAGCACTCAATCAAGCGGAACGAGCCGCGCCGACACATGGCATGTTAGCAGACCACTCCACGGCTGTTCCTTTTTACTCCCGTCCATTCAGGTCACGCACCCGTCAACTCAACAAAAGCCAATTTTAGGGGCAGAGAATTCGATTAAAAAAATTCACGGTGGAGGCTAGGCGATCAGGCTAGGTGAGCATTGGGTGGCCAGTTAGGCTAGGCTAGGTGAACATTGGGTGGCCAGTTAGGCTAGGCTAGGTGAGCATTGGGTGGCCAGTTAGGCTAGGTGAGCATTGGGTGGCCAGTTAGGCTAGGTGAGCATTGGGTGGCCAGTTAGGCTAGGCGAGCATTGGGTGGCCAGTTAGGCTAGGTGAGCATTGGGTGGCCAGTTAGGCTAGGTGAACATTGGGTGGCCAGTTAGGCTAGGTGAACATTGGGTGGCCAGTTAGGCTAGGTGAGCATTGGGTGGCCAGTTAGGCTAGGCTAGGTGAGCATTGGGTGGCCAGTTAGGCTAGGCTAGGTGAACATTGGGTGGCCAGTTAGGCTAGGCTAGGTGAACATTGGGTGGCCAGTTAGGCTAGGTGAACATTGGGTGGCCAGTTAGGCTAGGCTAGGTGAGCATTGGGTGGCCAGTTAGGCTAGGTGAACATTGGGTGGCCAGTTAGGCTAGGCTAGGTGAGCATTGGATGGCCATTTTGTTAGGCTGGGCTAGGATGGTGTGTTTCGTGGCGAGATCATTTCGATTGTTATAAAGCCTTTAGTCAGGTCACAAGACCATCTCACTCTACAATAGAAGAAGATGGTGACTACCATAACAAAGTGAAGTATCAACACTGTCAGTAAGGTGTGCCCTTGTAAAACATCCAACACGCCCCAATCCCCATCTAAAAACACATTATCGATACACCCTTGGCCTAATAGAACTAGTACTGATACAGCTGCAGCAGTGTCACAACAGATCCAGACATTTCCCGATCTATCAAAGACTGGCATCTGGAGCGTGTACACACGCGAGAGACACGTGCGCTTGTTTTTGTTGGGAGGTGTCACCATTAGCACCAGCATGGCCGACACCATTAGCGCCGTCACCTCAAGCAAGCCGGCTGTTTATAAACATGTGTACACAACGGAATAGCCGACCACACAGTAAGCCCACCCGCATTGTAATGTTTCTACACTATTTTATAACAGCTCATTTCTACAAAGATCCTAATTCTGTTTTTTTAAAGACAACGACATGTTTGATAGTTTACAAAGGGAACAGTCGCTTCTACAATTAGAAATCAGTAAGAGCTATTGGCTAGAACAACTCCGTCAAATTAAAGCACGGAAGTTACCCACAGCCCATGAGCTGACCCTCGGGTGCTCAGACTTTGCATAGAAAGAAGCGTGCTCCGAATATCCTCCGTACAGCAGACTTTGCACATCTACAGCATAGAAAGAAGCGTGCTCCGAATAACCTCCGTACAGCAGACTTTGCACATCTACAGCATAAGAAAGAAGCGTGCTCCGAATAACCTCCGTACAGCCGACACGCATGAATGCGTGTAGAGAAAAACTATCGCCACATGAAAGCCCTGCCCTCAAACACCCATTTCCTCCTCTTTAAGAGACCAAAACTTTGAAGGGAAAAAAACCATTCAGATATCAGGGTGGAAAAATGTACAAACACAAGGTACAGTAGAGATGGGTGGTGGGGGTAGCGGGGTAGGGGGTGGAGCACATGAAAGGGTAGGCTACTTTAAATGCATTGCCAGAATTGTCAACTGTTTAATCCGAGGTAAAAAATTCCTGATATGCAAGCATCAATTCATACACTTCAATCTTTGCGCACCCATTAAAAAGGTTGTAAAGAGTTTCCAGTAGCGTAAGCCGTCGACTCGTGGCTCGCCCATTCAAGGTTTCTGTTCAAACAAACATTTCAATCTTAGTGCTGGGCCTTACCTCGTATACAGCCTGGGTGTGGGGAGGGCTGGGACTGGGGTCAAATAGAATAAATCTTTTGAATGGATGATCACTGCCTGCATTGGCACTAAATGATCGTAGAAAAGCTAAACATACAACTAGAAACTAAATTTATCAGTCTTATGTTTTTTAAAAAAAAATGGCCAATGCCATTGGTAGAATGCGGCACGCGAATCTATTGATAAGCTGATCGACGTTAGGGTTCAATAAGAACTATGTGGGCTCCAGAACTAGAAATAGTTCAATTCTCGCCTCCAGCGGGTAAATAGACTAGATCTAGAGTGGGTAAAGGGGCTGGAGTGGAATCAATGCTGTTGTGGGCCCGCCGCTCCAATCTATCCCGTCATAACCTTGTGTGTCTGTGTCCTAGCTTCAAAGGGAACTAGAAATAGTCCGTGCTATGCATCGTTTAACATACGTAACGTACGAGCTTAATTTTAACCACCCGCGACAGCTGGAGCTCCAATGTTAAACATAGATGTATGGAGTACAGAATACATTGACATTTACTCGCCCTGCGGAGCTGAGCTAATTAGACTTTACCGTTGGTAGCTTTGTCAAGCAGACCTGTGTTTATGTATTCAGTGAGTGTATAAATAACTTATCAAAACAAAAGCACACCAACAGACCAACCAACTCAACTCATGCCATGTGGACTCTAACTAAGGAAATATTAAATTCTTTGTCTAGCCTTGTTCTTCAAGTTTACTTATGATTCCGTCTTCTACCGGCTTCTGTTCTTGACATCTCGTATTGTCTAGCCAAGGCTTGTCATTAACTAGCACATGCATTTCTTGAAAGAATTCATCTGATCAGGGGGCGTGCTAGAAATTCACAGATTTATTCCGAACAAAAAATGAACTGAGTCTAGAGGACTTGACATGAGAACAAAACCCGTACACCAGTATAAGTTGGACCCTGGGCCGGGCATAAGATGGACCCTGGGCCGGGCAATGGAAGAGTGCAGTACCGAAAAAGTAAATCTATTGTTACGGTAACAAAGGGCCCAGCGCCCCACCGCGTCAAATCGCCAGCATTTCAGTAAGTCCTAGGGGTGCTCAGATTACCTTGACCCCTGGGGTCAACATTTCAGTAAGTCCTAGGGGTGCTCAGATTACCTTGACCCCTGGGGTCAGCATTTCAGTAAGTCCTAGGGGTGCTCAGATTACCTTGACCCCTGGGGTCAGCATTTCAGTAAGTCCTAGGGGTGCTCAGATTACCTTGACCCCTGGGGCCAGCATTTCAGTAAGTCCTAGGGGTGCTCAGATTACCTTGACCCCTGGGGTCAGCATTTCAGTAAGTCCTAGGGGTGCTCAGATTACCTTGACCCCTGGGGTCAGCATTTCAGTAAGTCCTAGGGGTGCTCAGATTACCTTGACCCCTGGGGTCAACATTTCAGTAAGTCCTAGGGGTGCTCAGATTACCTTGACCCCTGGGGTCAGCATTTCAGTAAGTCCTAGGGGTGCTCAGATTACCTTGACCCCTGGGGTCAGCATTTCAGTAAGTCCTAGGGGTGCTCAGATTACCTTGACCCCTGGGGTCAGCATTTCAGTAAGTCCTAGGGGTGCTCAGATTACCTTGACCCCTGGGGTCAACATTTCAGTAAGTCCTAGGGGTGCTCAGATTACCTTGACCCCTGGGGTCAGCGGCTGTACGTGCATCAACCTACTGACAGCTGTCTTTCTTCACGTCTGCTGTGGCCACGCCTGATCCATTCACAACTCACACTGGTATATATAGACCATTGTTCTACTGGGGCGTAAGCTCCAGATCTCTGATTGTCCATTGACAAATGGAAAAAAGAACTTGATGCAGCCAAAAGTTTCCCATCAGTCCCCCACTCACGTGTTGTGGTCCCACCAACCGTCGACCTCCAGGTGCAGTACACAGGTCATTTCTTGCTCTGTTTGACAATCGTAGCAATTGTTGAATTGCTTTTTCTTATGGGATATCACCGGCCTCTCACGTGATAATGTACCGGTCACTCTAAGGTCACTTCCCCTAGTGCTTTGATTGATGCACTGTCGTGTTAGATGTCCGTTTGTTCATGAGCACGACGGTACAGGCAGGTGACTAAGTTCTAAACTAGCACCGTACACATGGCACTATACATTCAGGGCTTTACATATAGCGCCATACACATAATAACATACACATACGGCACCATACATACGGCACCATACATAAAGCAACGCTTATGTAGGAAGAAGATGAAGACTATGTCTGACAGCTAATTAGACAATGTTTGAGTATGAAAAATGAAATGTTTTCATTTGCTTCAAGTAGAAAAATGAAATGTTTTCCATTTGTTTCAATCTGCTAGAGGCCATGACGTGTTGTTTAAAGAACCGGGTCAAGCCTTTATACCGTGTGAGGGGACTATGGGAGATGCGCCATTGTCATAGTCCTTTTTTGTCCACCAAATATTTCACTAGACAGCATACCAGGGGCGCGTCCTTATGCCATCTGTTGATGTGTGTGTGTGTGTGTGGGGGGGGGGGGGTGGTAATGTAGGCCATGGGTTAGAACAATGTTCTTTATGTTATCAAATAGCTATCTTTGAGTACTATCCACCCCCCCCCCCCCCCCCCCCCCCACACACACACGTGCTTCTGCCAGTAGAATACATGAAAAATAGACGCACTGACAATGTTAAAGTTGAAAAACCAAAAAAAAAAAAAAAAACGGTTCGTAAGTAATCCTGCCAGCATTAGAACATGGGTGTGAGGAGTGTCGTAGATTGTGGTGTAGAATCAAGGCTACATAAAGACCAGTCAGTCTTCCAAAGCATTCATTCATTCATACAACTCTGGTCAGCATACCGATACCAAGTGTCATAGAGAAGCTTCAAAGTTTGGTTATCGATTTTTGTAAACCTTTCAATGAAATAACCTTGGTCTGGGGGCCAGGTTTCACTACTTCTTGTGTACCTGACGGTCGCTAGACGGAACTCTGGCACCACGCGTGTCAATCGCGTGTGATACAACGTCTACATCATAACGTTGGTTTCAACAATCACTTATATATACCTAGGTTAAAGAAATTTGGTTTCAACATGAACTTATATACACCTATGCTAAAGAAATTCATAGAATCGCGTGGAAGGGGTGGGGTGGGGCAAAAACCTAAAAACGTTCCGTGTATTGGTGATGTAATAGGTCGGGAGTTGGGGTCACGCTAGATCTGCCCCCCCCCCCTCCCCCCACAAGTTTAGCCAAACAATTTATGCTGGGGTCACGCTAGATCTGCCCCCAAGTTTAGCCAAACAATTTATGCTGGGGTCACGCTAGATCTGCCCCCCCCCCACAAGTTTAGCCAAACAATTTATGCTGGGGTCACGCTAGATCTGCCCCAAGTTTAGCCAAACAATTTATGCTGGGGTCACGCTAGATCTGCCCCCAAGTTTGGCCAAACAATTTCTTCTCTTAACAAAAATCCATGGCGTTCTATTTTTTTTTTTAAATCCCGTCAACACAAGGAGCGGGGACCGGCAGGGTGGTAGCGGGCTGATAATGGGGTGGACGGACAAAGACTCCAGCCACATGTGTCGCGGCCTAGTGGACCAAAAAACGGCCCTGGCAATAGCAAGCCTAAACTTCCATTCAACACGGTAGCCGGGCGGAACGCTGAGATAAGCCAGGGTTCAAGCCACAGTTCATCAAACGGTGCACGCGATACAAAACATGAGATTACACTCGCATTGTTTTAACAATCTGGCACGCTGGTTTATATGATTTAAGGTGTGTTACAGGCAGGCTAAATGTATCTGGTCACTGGACCATAGCCTACACCACCCCCAACACTCGCAACACACTGGTCCCACATACGCTGTCAGCTTATTGTTCAACTCTATTATCTTTATTAATTAACACTAGGATTGAACTAGGATTTAAAAACAATGAGAGAAGTACAGTAGGAAGCTGATCCTAAACATTAAAACCTGTGTATGTATTAGGATGGGTGAGGAGGGGTATAATATAAACTCTATAAACAGGAGAATCAGTGGGAGGTCAAATATAGACTACATAACAGCAACAGCTTGAATAGAGTAAATATTGCGAGCCATGCTGTGTTTATATCCAGATAGAGCACGAGGCTAGGATAACAATGGAGGGGACTAGCACAACAGCAGGTTGCGATATCATAGGAGAGACAATTCAACATTTCATCACACAATCTTGTCTGTCATATCTCATTCATTAAGGCAATCTGTCCTTGTTTTCCTTTGATACCATGTGTAAAGACTCCACAGAACCTGACGCCATGTTTCTGTCCCCAGATTGGCCTGCCAGACTTCTCCAAGCTGAAGGTCCACTACCCGGGCTACGCCCACCACGGCGGCCGGTTCCACGACCACCAGCTGGTGCAGGCTATCGGCTGTGACTCCAGCCTGCTCCTACACGACACCAGCGCCCTACGCCTGTCGGTGGCGCTCAACAAGATCGGCGGGCCCCACTCCCTGGGCAAGGAGCTCATTCGGCTGTCCAAGTACGGCCGGGACAGCGTCAGCGGCAGGAACAGCATGCAGTACATCTACCACCCCATCGCTTACGGCCCCTACCTGGCTGACAAGTACGGCTACCCGACTGTCTCCAAGCTCCACGAGTCGGATCCTCTCAGTACTAAGAAGGTGAGTACACAAAACACGTTCAGTCCAAATTCTTCAATTCTATTTGTACACAACATACTCAACACTATAACTATAAGCTATCAATGTAGTAAAAAACATGTTTTTCTGTGTTGTTTTTTTTTAGAACTTTTGGGGCAAGCAGGGCATACTGCGGGTCATCACCTACACCAAGAAGCAGAACATGCCCAAAGGACATGTGGCACTTTGGGACTGTGACCACTTTCATCAAGCCAGAGACTGGATAGCCGGCCACAGCCTCATCACAGTAGAGTTCTGGGAATCTCCTGGTAAGTTCCTGGCATATCAAACTAGCTGGGTGCTTGAAATATCAGACTAACTGGGTGCTAGAAATATCAGACTAACTGGGTGCTAGAAATATCAGACTAACTGGGTGCTTGAAATATCAGACTAGCTGGGTGCTTGAAATATCAGACTAGCTGGGTGCTTGAAATATCAGACTAGCTGGGTGCTTGAAATATCAGAATAACTAGGTGCTTGAAATATCAGACTAGCTGGGTGCTTGAAATATCAGACTGGGTGCTTGAAATATCAGACTAGCTGGGTGCTTGAAATATCAGACTGGGTGCTTGAAATATCAGACTAGCTGGGTGCTTGAAATATCAGACTGGGTGCTTGAAATATCAGACTAGCTGGGTGCTTGAAATATCAGACTGGGTGCTTGAAATATCAGACTAGCTGGGTGCTTGAAATATCAGACTGGGTGCTTGAAATATCAGACTAGCTGGGTGCTTGAAATATCAGACTGGGTGCTTGAAATATCAAACTAACTGGGCCCATGTATGTAGTTACATTATGATTTTTATGAAAGATGAAGTTTTAACGAAAACTTTTTCTCCTCCAGACTCAGACTGCAGCAACATGCAACCTGCTGCCCCACCCCCAGCAGACTTCCCCAGACTAGAAGACATCCTACCCCAGGTGCCGCGGGGCAAGAAGCTAAGGCACCATCACTGGGAGAAGAAGTTTGTGAAAAAATACTTCCAGCTTCACAAGCAGTTGAGCATGCAGAGGTGAAAACCTTGTCAATGTGTGCTGACTACATCTACTAGTGCCAAATCTTCATGTCTGAACTGCTGGCTAGCACAGTGGGCTTCTGACTAGCACAGTGGGCTTCTGACTAGCACTGTGGGCTGGTGCCTAGCTCTGTAGGCTAGTCTGTTGAGTTTTGCTGCCTGACTTTCTCCATAGTTCAAGACTTATGTGATTTAATTTATATACACTAACATGGAGCTATCAGTGACTATAAAGTATTCAAGTTAGATGGAGGTGGCACAATGAAATGGACACAGGTCAACCGACCAGCCAAGGGTGACTTGGGAAAGACAGAATGTACAAAGGTAAAACCCCAAGTTTAGCCGTGTTGCCTAAAAATGCCAAGTTCAGCCAGGTGTTGTGTGAGAAATGCCAAGTTCAGCCAGTTGTTGTGTGAGAAATGCCAAGTTCAGCCAGTTGTTGTGTGAGAAATGCCAAGTTCAGCCAGGTGTTGCCTGATAATACCAAGAGAACTAATGCAGCATAATATTTGAACTTTTCCAACTTGAATCAAAATCCATGTGTTTTTTATGTACTTTACACTGCCAAAAACCATCTGTTACCATATATACTAATATGTATATGTATGTAGGTTCAACTGTAATATAAATATATCTATGTTTATGGAGGTAACTGTTATTTAAACATGTATATGTTTGTGGGATGAATGTTACTAAGTGTCGCAGACATACGTGTATGTGGTGTGAATGTTTTGAAAATGTGTATGCATGTGGGGACAACTGTTCTATAAATATGTGTAAATGTGGATTTCTGTAAGAAGGTTTTCTTGTTGTACTCTGATCATGCATTTATTTATTCTCAATTTAACACAATGATGTCCTTATAGAGCAACTGGAAGGCCTGAGAGCAAAACATTGAGGGAATAGTCAGCCTTTCACATAGGAGCATGTTATGAAGTATATGTGATGTATGATATACGTAGTGTATGGCATACATCATATATGTTGGCGTAAGATGTGTCTGAAGGTTTAAAGTTTAACAAAAAATAAATGCAGCATTTATGCTGAAGGAAGCTGTTCTCAATGGTTTATTTAAGCTGTTCTCAATGGTTTATTTAAGCTGTTCTCAATGGTTTATTTAAGCTGTTCTCAATGGTTTATTTAAACTGTTCTCAATGGTTTATTTAAACTGTTCTCAATGGTTTATTTAAGCTGTTCTCAATGGATTATTTGAGCTGAAGGAAACTGTTCTCAATGGTTTATTTAAGCTGTTCTCAATGGTTTATTTAAGCTGTTCTCAATGGTTTATTTAAGCTGTTCTCAATGGTTTATTTAAGCTGTTCTCAATGGTTTATTTAAACTGTTCTCAATGGTTTATTTAAGCTGTTCTCAATGGTTTATTTAAGCTGTTCTCAATGGTTTATTTAAGCTGTTCTCAATGGTTTATTTAAGCTGTTCTCAATGGATTATTTGAGCTGAAGGAAACTGTTCTCAATGGTTTATTTTAGCTGTTCTCAATGGTTTATTTAAGCTGTTCTCAATGGTTTATTTAAGCTGTTCTCAATGGTTTATTTAAGCTGTTCTCAATGGTTTATTTAAGCTGTTCTCAATGGTTTATTTAAACTGTTCTCAATGGTTTATTTAAGCTGTTCTCAATGGTTTATTTAAGCTGTTCTCAATGGTTTATTTAAGCTGTTCTCAATGGTTTATTTAAGCTGTTCTCAATGGTTTATTTAAGCTGTTCTCAATGGTTTATTTTAGCTGTTCTTAATGGTTTAGTTAAGCTGAAGGAAACTGTTCTCAATGATTTATTTAAGTAACTGTGCCATGATTGATCATTTACACTGTACATTTTTTTATCTCTTTTTTTCTTCTGTAATTACTTAAGCTTTGGCATTGATTTATAAAGTTATTTGTAAATAGTCCTATCTGTTAATATACATAGATGCACCTGGTTGTACTATTGTCCAGCCTGTCTGGCTCTTAGGTCAGTGCTCTGAGAAATTTTGGCTCAGTGGAACATTGGCTCAGATAGATTTGCCAGTAAGGGGATCTGACAGTTAGATTAGTGCTCAGAGTAATGTTGGCTCAGAGTAATGTTGGCTCAGAGTAATGTTGGCTCAGTGGAACGTTGGCTCAGATAGATTTGCCAGTAAGGGGATCTGACAGTTAGATTATTGCTCTGAGTAATTTGAGTGCCAAGTAAACTAGACAGGACTCTTTCAACCACAACATGCACACACCTTGTTATTTTACACCATGTTTCATTTCTAACTTTAAAAATGTAGGCCTAAAATAGTCATTGCCAGATATTTTAAACATTTTTTATTTAGCCAAACAAAAGATAATCACAACTAAAGTATTTTTTTTAGTAATGAAAGGCTTAGATTGAAGAGAAAAAAAATGTGTTGACCAAAGCAGTTCATAAAGTTTTGAAAGTACTGCTATTGGCTACATGCTACCTCCTGGCTGTCACTACCTCCCAAAAATCTACATCATTGTACATTTTGTTTCAGTTGATTAATACTGGTCTATTACAGCACTTGTCAAAGACAGCACATCCACAAGATGTAAATTAGTTAGGTAGCTGTCTGACTATATATGTCACTTACTGATACTTTTTTTGTTGATGCAACCATTATGTTTTACACTATCTTGACTAGTTATTTCATGCTGAACAAAAAAGCTGATGTTAATGTTTTTAAACTGCGATGACTAATTGTTACTTGCTGAACTTGAGGAACCAGTTATTAATTTGCTATGCTTGTTTTAAGTGCTACATTCTGTGTTCAAATAGAGGTACAGATTGGGGAGGGGGGGGGGGGGGGGGGGAATTCCCGTTCTACTTAAGTGTATTTAATATGGGCGTTATTAACGATTGGGAATTTTGTTTTTAAATACTTTTACGAGTTGGTATTTATAAATTAAATGGAAATTTTAAAATTCTCCTGTTTGAAACAAATAAAACATGTTTTATATTGAAAGATATTTTTTTTTTAATTTGCAAGCATTACTTAAATAAAATAAATATTTGAATGAAGCTAAAAGATAATTTGATTAATCCAGATATAAAATGGCATGCCTGGTTTGATCATGTCAACCATTTGTTTTACAATGTACATTCACCATTCCCGGTTTACAATGTTTGACCACACATTCCTGTACTCAGTGTTTTAGATGTTTTACATCGCAATCATATGCTACTGTAGCTTAATTTACTACTTAAAAGTTGACTTTTAACCCTTTCTACTCTTGTTCATTAACATTTAATATTAACATTATAAGATATTTTTAATGAATTGAAACCATTTAAAAATAATCTTTAGTTTATAACAGAGACAAAGCAATTAAGCTTCTGTAGCGCCATCAAAGAATTATATAGTTCATAAATACCAAATATTTTGTTTATCAGTATAATGAGTATTTCATTACAACAATGTGTTTTACCTTGCTTTTTTTGTATGTGTAATCATTTAACTAGTCATTATTAATTTTTTTTTTAATATTATTTTATTATCTTGTGCTATGCTTTAATTATTCTTCTGTGCCTTTTGTGTTGATGAAACAATAAAGCATGAATTCAGTTATTATTGCCACCATTGGTTTTCTCTAATTATTTGTTGTGCTTTGATGGGTTAGTTGTTTTCTTATCAGAGGGACAAATGGAATCCTAGGATATTTCTAAAATAATTTTACTGCTTGATTTAAACCAAACCTAAACTTCATAATGAGATAAACTGACCATGGCACTGAAATTTATTATGAGACAAACTGACCCTGTCTTAAGCTTAATGAAATAAACTGAGCATGTCTTTATGCTTCTTAATGAGGCAAACTGAACATAGTATTGAACTTCATAATGAGTCAAACTGACCCTGTCCTAAAACCTCATAATGAGACAAGCTGACCAATCATAGTCTTGAACTTCATAATGAGACAAACTGAACTTGTCCTAAAACCTCATAATGAGACAAGCTGACCCTGTCCTAAAACCTCTTAATGAGACAAACTGAGCCTGTCCTAAAACCTCTTAATGAGACAAACTGAACCTGTCCTAAAACCTCTTAATGAGACAAACTGACCCTGTCCTAAAACCTCTTAATGAGACAAACTGAGCCTGTCCTAAAACCTCTTAATGAGACAAACTGAACCTGTCCTAAAACCTCTTAATCAGACAAACTGAGCCTGTCCTAAAACCTCTTAATCAGACAAACTGAGCCTGTCCTAAAACCTCATAATGAGACAAGCTGACCCTGTCCTAAAACCTCTTAATGAGACAAACTGAGCCTGTCCTAAAACCTCCATATGAGACAAACTGAACCTGTCCTAAAACCTCTTAATGAGACAAACTGACCCTGTCCTAAAACCTCTTAATGAGACAAACTGAGCCTGTCCTAAAACCTCTTAATGAGACAAACTGACCCTGTCCTAAAACCTCTTAATGAGACAAACTGAGCCTGTCCTAAAACCTCTTAATGAGACAAACTGAACCTGTCCTAAAACCTCTTAATCAGACAAACTGAGCCTGTCCTAAAACCTCTTAATCAGACAAATTGAGCCTGTCCTAAAACCTCCTAATGAGACAAACTGAGCCTGTCCTAAAACCTCATAATGAGACAAACTGAACCTGTCCTAAAACCTCTTAATGAGACAAACTGATTACTTGTTCATTTTTTAACAGAAGGCGTTATTTTACCGTAGTAGTAGGAAGCATTACAATATGTCTTTAAACCATATCAAATTCATAACATCTATTTCTGTTGATATTCATTGCTTAGGCCTACTTACCACAGTGGTACAAACTTAAAATCCTATGATTTAATAAGATACCTTTGATGTTCAATTTAAAGTGTGCATGTCTTCATCCCTAAGTTCACACAAGTCAAATTTTTCAGACCCCCCCCCCCCCCTAGTGTGGATTGTGTGGATAAATGGCGTGAGATCCCTTAAACTTCCTTATATCTATATATATAATTGTCTACGTGGGGACCATGCGAGCCACCACCACGTAAGGGCTTAGGCAATCCTACCATGCTCTCTCTAGGCATATAGCTACCACCCCCATCCCACCCCACCAGTCTGATGAGCTGTGGTTTACGACGAATGTTTACAATCGTAGAGCCGGGTTGAATTAGTGATGGCTATTAGGGGCAGATAATTTAGTATTTAAACGATTTGAAACGAAGTGGAGATAACAATTTCTGCATGATCTTTTCATTGTCGTCTGTAAATTACGGCTGCTTTCACTGGGTGGGGGAGATGGCAGGTGAGGGGGGTAGTGTCGAATTCACAAATTATGAATTGCTGATCAGCAGCAAATAAAACAACTAGATAGCGGTGTATGCTACGTCACGGGGCAGCTCATATTGTTATAAACGGTAAATTTTTAGAAGGCACATTTAGTGGAACTGGGCTATAGAAATGTTGGGATATATTACAGTGATCATTAAAACTGACCATTTTACCCTACCCCAAACACTACACAATAATGAGTACAACTGACCCCCCAAATCCCACTGTTCTTGACCATTTTACCCTACCCCAAACACTATACAATAATGAGTACAACTGACCCCCCAAATCCCACTGCTCTTGACCATTTTACCCTACCCCAAACACTACACAATAATGAGTACAACTGACCCCCCAAATCCCACTGCTCTTGACCATTTTACCCTACCCCAAACACTATACAATAATGAGTACAACTGACCCCCCAAATCCCACTGCTCTTGACCATTTTACCCTACCCCAAACACTATACAATAATGAGTACAACTGACCCCCAAATCCCACTGTTCTTGACCATTTTACCCTACCCCAAACACTATACAATAATGAGTACAACTGACCCCCAAATCCCACTGTTCTTGAATCAACAGACTGCATGATTTCTGCAGCAGCAGGAGAGCTATCTTCACTTACTATGTTAGTCTATAACGTTTTGTAGTTATTCTCATTTACTGTTATATAACAGTAAGTGTTAGGATGGGACTTCCTATGGAACTGGGCTATAAAAGTGTTGGGATAATGAGCACATAGAGGCAAAATGTTTGTAGAATCTGCTGCTTTATGATATGATATAAAATTAGCTAACTCTAAGCACTTTTATTAAATCTAATATAGAGTAAAGTACCATTTCCAAATTACTAGAAATCAGTAAAAGTTAAAAGAAGCTTAGGGAACCTGTATGTTCTACTTAATTATAAAAGCTCATCTATTTAACTGAAACAGTGCTAAAGTTATTGATATTTTAGAACCCATAAAAGAGTAAAGTGCCATTTCCATAGATCATTAATTCAAAATGCAAAAGAAACCTAAGTACAGGATCTTATATTTTTAAAATTTTGTTTACCTAACTGAAATAGTCAAAGTTAACATGAAAATGGAAATAGCTCCAAATGTGAAAGAGACCAGCGTTTACAGTGTAAGACATACATGAAATTTTGCCCAGCTAACTGAAACATTACTTATCATGTTCACAGACAGACAGACATACTGACAAGATAAACTGGGTTTTTTGCCACTTAGGTAAGGAAGGCATAAAACATCTAGATTTGTCACTATTTAAATACATATGTGAGAAAGTTAAAGTGGACTAGGGTATATAACTGCAACAAATAGTTTATAAAAAATAAAAACAGAGTTATCTTACCTGGAATATTTCAAAAATAATCTCAGATAAATTTTACTTGTAGGTGAAAATAATTTTAAAAATAAATCGGGAGTGGTCTCCCCCAAACTTTCTGTAATATTCTTATATAACACTAGGGGGATGGCAACTCGGGATATAGACATGATTTTTAATCCATTTTAATTACTTAAACTTTTAAAAATAGAAAAGAATCTCATAGAAAAAAGAATTGCACACCAAACGCAAAAAAAGAGGTGTATAAAAGTGCGGAATATTATTAGTACTTTATAAATTTACATGCGTTTGTTGAGAAATAGGAAATAGCCTAAATTACTACTTCCAGTCAACGGAAATAACTCAAAATTTGATAGAAGGCAGAGAATTAGATCTTTTACTTACATGTGAAATTTCATTAAAACAAATCTATCTGAAACTGTACTCAAGCTATGAAAAATTAAAAGTAGAATAAGTGTTCCACTTCCAGTTACCACAAATCGCTGAAAAGTTGATACAGAACTACAAATCTGATACAATACTTATATATGAAATTTCATCAACCTAACTGTAACGGTACTCAAGTTATCATGTTCACAGACACACACACGCACAGACATACGAACAAGATTGCAAAACTATGTTTTTCCGAATCAGGAAGGTGTAAAACGGCGAGATTTGTAAAAATCTCAATTTTTTTTTTTTGCACGATTACAATACTTTCTCTATACTTCCCATACGAGAAAGTAAAAATATTTTTTTTTTTTAAGTAATACTTTTTCCGCAAGGGAACTCTCTTAAAATTTTAAAAATTGCACTGTTTACACTTTAGACATCTTAAGAATAACCAAACTTTAAATCAGTGGTTCTCAACCAGCATGAAGCCTTTTGCTTAACTGTTACTATAAAAAGCAAGAAGATACTGTACTCCTAACAATTTTCAGAGAGATTCTCCAAGTTATAGTATTAGAACAAAAATGTTACTTTCAACTTCCTAAATTATTTCTAGCAGAAAAAAAAATAAATAAACAGCATCTTATTCAACAAGTGTGCCACATGAAACATGAGTAACAACTGCAAAAATAGTAACTTCAGCAATCAATGAAGAGTTACCTTACCCTTTATATATAAACTAAGGGACAGAAATGAGACTAACAAAAAATGTAAAGAGTTATCTTACTTTTCCAGTGGTTCCTCTAGTGATTCCATGAATTTCCCAACAGATATGCGTAGAACCTCAATTTCACTGAAATATTCACAAATAACAGTAAATTAATTCAAATTATTTTTAAAAAGCAGAATTATGTTTACATTTTACTTGATTAAATAAAAATAAACACAGAATCCTACATGAAAATTGGCAGCTAGTACACTTGGTATAGATTTGTGCTTAACTTTATAGTGTTAAGTATTTTCAAAAATCAATTATTTTTTTTTAATTAAGAGATATATACATTTTAAAATAGCGCTCTCATAGTAGCTACAAACAAGAGAGGGTTTGGTAATAGATATTGAACAGTGTTCAAATAAGTTATGAGCTTCAGGCTTAAGAGCTAGCATATAATTGTTAAGGCAAATAGCAAACTTATAATTTGTAAGCTAAGTAGCAGACATATATTTTGTAAGGTAGTAGCAGACTTATAATTTGTAAGGTAAGTGGAAGACTTATAATTTGTAAGGTAAGTAGAAGACATATATTTTGTAAGGTAGTAGCAGACTTATAATTTGTAAGGTAAGTAGAAGACATATATTTTGTAAGGTAAGTAGAAGACATATATTTTGTAAGGTAGTAGCAGACTTATAATTTGTAAGGTAAGTGGCAGACTTATAATTTGTAAGGTAAGTAGAAGACATATATTTTGTAAGGTAGTAGCAGACTTATAATTTGTAAGGTAAGTTGCAGACATATATTTTGTAAGGTAGTAGCAGACTTATAATTTGTAAGGTAAGTAGAAGACATATATTTTGTAAGGTAGTAGTAGACTTATAATTTGTAAGGTAAGTAGAAGACATATATTTTGTAAGGTAGTAGCCGACTTATAATTTGTAAGGTAAATAGAAGACATATATTTTGTAAGGTAGTAGCAGACTTATAATTTGTAAGGTAAGTAGAAGACATATATTTTGTAAGGTAGTAGCAGACTTATAATTTGTAAGGTAAGTAGAAGACATATATTTTGTACAGTAAGAAGCAGGCTTACCTATTTTCTGTCATGTCGATTGTGTGCTTCATCAGGTACATCCACTCACAAGGCAACTGATGTTTGACATAGACAGTCCACAACACACCTTTCTCCTCATCAGTAAACCTGGGGATCAAAACTACTGCAATCAAGCTATTCAAATCAAAATTACTGCAATCAAGCCATTCAATTCAAAACTACTGCAATCAAGCCATTCAAATCAAAACTACTGCAATCAAGCCATTCAAATCAAAACTACTGCAATAAAGCCATTCAAATCAAAACTACTGCAATCAAGCCATTCAAATCAAAACTACTGCATTCAAGCCATTCAAATCAAAACTACTGCATTCAAGCCATTCAAATCAAAACTACTGCATTCAAGCCATTCAAATCAAAACTACTGCATTCAAGCCATTCAAATCAAAACTACTGCATTCAAGCCATTCAAGGTTCAATATTTGGATGGTCAAATTAAGGAGTCAACTAATTAACTTAAATAATAAAAATGTTGTAGTCCTACTAGCCCTTTGATGGTAATATTTATTTTAGAGCATTGATAAACAGGTACTGTTATTTATTTATATTAAATCTATATGTATATAATTCTCTTCTGGGAGACGCTAAAAAACAAGCTGTAAGCGCGCTCCCTACCAACCCACCCCTACATGGTCTGGTGAGCTGTGGTTCATGCTAAATTTTTACAGTCATAGAGCCGGGTTTAGTGACGGCTATTAGGGGCAGATAATTTAGTTTGAAACAATTTTAAACTTAGGGGACGTAACTAAGAGGAGGCTGTTTTCACCGGGGTGGGGTAGGGGTTGGGGAAAGAGGGGGGTGTATTGTCCTTAACGAGCTACTGATAGTGTTTTAAAGCAAATATATTAAGTGGCAGCATTGGTACTGTCAAATTCACAAATTATGAATTACTGAAAAGTAGAAAATAAAACAACTAAATAGCTGCGTATAATACGCCGCGGGTCGGCTCGTATTATATAATAAACTACAATATCATGGTGTATAAGTCACGATAAATATATTTGTAAATGAAGTCTATAGATGACTGCTTACATAGAAGTAAGTTGAATCTTAAACGTGTAAAAACAGATCAACCACTTGAAATTTAAGATCTCTTCATCACCTTATCGAAAGAAATATTTCTTCAATTTAACTTCATTTCTTCTTCTTCATTCTTATTTGTATGTTGGTGGGGGGAGGGGGGAATTTTTTTTCAGTGTTTGTTTCTTTAGCACGAGCCGACCCGCTGCGTATCATACGCCGCTATTTAGTTGTTTTTTCTACTTTTCAGTTATTTATAATTTGTGAATTCGACAGTACCAATGCTGCCACTGAAAATATTTGCTTAAAAACACTAAACCCCCCTTCCCCCCCTCCCCACGTGAAAGCAGCTTCCTCTTACTTACCTCCTCTAAGTTAAAAATCGTTTCAAACTAAATTATCTGCCCCTAATAGCCGTCACCAAACCCGTCTCTGTGATTGTAAAATGTAAACAGCGTGACCACAGCTCACCAGACAATGTGAGGGGGTGGGGGTGGGGGTGTGGGGGGGTGGTAGCGATAGAGAGGAAGAGAGGGGACTGTAAGGCGCGCTTTGCAGCTTGTTTTCTAATTGCTCCCAGAAGAGAATTATATATATAGATTGGCTCAACCAAGGGCAATCTACCAGACAGCAGATCTTAATCTGCGCAGGGGTTGTTGAACCTGAGACTTCTGGGTTGGCCATCTTGTTCTCTCCCACCCAACCACCCTGCCCCTAACTTTAATGGATTACATCAATTATTCAAATAGTCTGTGAAACTTACTGACAAACTTTGGGTGGTCGAAGGTCAGGTTGTGAGATTCTAAAACAAAAGTGGTAATTACATTAGGTCAAGTTGATTGTAGAATAAAAGTGGTAATTACATTAGATCAAGGTGATTCTAAAATTAAAAGTGGTAATTACATTAGATCAAGGTGATTCTAAAACAAAAGTGGTAATTACATTAGATCAAGGTGATTCTAAAATTAAAAGTGGTAATTACATTAGATCAAGGTGATTCTAGAATAAAAGTGGTAATTACATTAGTCAGAGCAGGAATTTTTTAAGGTGGTAATTATATCATTCAGATGAAGTTGAGAGATTCTAAAACAGCATTTGTAAAGACTAAGAGAATTAAACTAATCAAATCTAAACTTTAACAGTACCTTCCAGAAGGTGCAGACTATATTAATGTCACAAATAAATAAAACTGACTTACTCTGATGCGGAGATCAAGGGAAATGACATAACCTCTCTCATGGAATTACCAATGACAGTCTGGAAAAAAATGTTAACAAAAATGTTGACCTAAATTTTTTTTTAAATTTTCTACTACTTCTTAGACAGGTAACCACAATTAGCAACACTCAAGCAGAACAATGAGCTAACTTCAGACCTTAATAACAACAAGACATTATAGATAACTCATGTATTCAGTTGATTCAAGAACAGTGTGATTTAAGGGTAGGGGAGAAATGGTCAGTTGTACTGAATATTGTACAGGGTTTGGGGTATGGGGGAAATGATCAGTTGTACTGAATATTGTACAGGGTTTGGGGTAAGGGGGAAATGATCAGTTGTACTGAATATTGTACAGGGTTTGGGGTAAGGGGGAAATTATCAGTTGTACTGAATATTGTACAGGGTTGGGTAAGGTGAAAATGCTCAAAACTTTGCTGACACTTCTACATAGGAAGGAGCATCCAACACTACAAGCCATACAGAGATGACAACGCTATTTCACCCTAACACAAACTTACTGTTGGTTCCATCACAGCTTTGGCTATAGCTTCATCTAGCAGATCTTTTCTTTGAACAATGGACTTGCCATGCAAACAGGGATACAGAATCTGACTATCTGCTGACAAATGTTTGAAACATTAACATAGACTTGACATTAAACGTATAGATTATCTATCTGCTGACACATATTTGAAACATTAACATAAACATGACGTTCAACAGCAATAGAGAATCTGACTATTTGCTAAAAAATATTAAAAACATTAACATAGACTTGACATTAAACAACAATAGAGAATCTGACTATCTACTGACAAAATATTTGAAACATTAACATAGACTTGACATTAAACAACAATAGAGAATCTGACTGTCTACTGACAAATATTTGAAACATTAATATAGACTTGACATTAAACAGGGATAGAGAATTTGACTTTCTATAAATATTTCTTCTTCTTTTTCTTCATTCTTAATTCTATTGTTGGAAGAGATTCCCTCCAACTTATTATGCGCAATTTAGGCAATCGAATCCGATTTCAGCCTGCTTTCATTTTGGATTTGCTTCCATAGCCTTTGTCCAACCAAGAACAAACTATAAGTCAGCAGTTGTTTGATTTTGGAGTTGTCTCTCCTAGATGAGTGGCTGTCCCCAGCTAACGAGCCTCATCTGCCTGGGGTTCGAGCTCGGGATTTTTTGTTTCAGCAACCATGACCTTAACCAACCCGACCATGCTGACCTCGTACAAATATTTGAAATATTAATTGTTTTACTAAACCAGGTGCAACAAACATAATTCATTGAACAGACATTACTATTCACTACACATATTCAATTATTTAATTAATCAAGTAAAATTTAACCTAACTATACAGATGGATGCGAAGTGGGGATGGACCTTTGATTTCAGCACTAAACTGCTGGATGAAACTAGAAAGTTTGGCAAAAATATTTTCATGTTAAAAAGATTTATTTTGTAATTAAAGTTATAGAGGAATCTTAAGACTAGATGACTAACTGCAGGTTTTTTAAAAATACAGTCCTATTGATAAATTAGAAATTAAATATGTATATATTTAAATTTACTAATTTATATAGTTATATATTGAATAAAACTATTATAGATTTACTCGAATATTTAAAAAATGCTTTTGAAAACAAACCAGCAATTAAATTGAGCAATCAGGGGCTTCAATACATTTTTTTTAAATTATGGTTACCTCCCCTGCACACAAAAAAGCTTAACTCCCCACACCTCAAATGAACAATTTTTGTTTTTAAATATTGATTTCTTTCTAACATATTAACATATTTGCTAACAGTGAGTAAAAATAATCAATTTATATTTCAATTTTGCAAAAATAGAGGTTTTTAAAATTTGATCTGCGAAAATTCAATTTTCAACTTTTATTTTTGTAATGCAAAAGCGTGTCATCACACTCTCTGCTTCCTCCCCCCCCCCCCCCCCCCTCATTACACATTTCAAACCCCTCTCTCTTAGGACTATGACTTCATTGTTTGATAGCCTCTAAGTGTAAAAATGTAACAGGGAAAATAGAATAAAAATGTTTTGAGCTTGAGATTACTTCCTATTAGTCTCACTACCTTTATAGTTTGTGGTGTTTAAGAACTGCACCCATGGGTTTTCATTGTAGTTTGGTGGCTGCGCAAGATCTTCCTTCTTGAGATACTGGCCCACCTTTTCTAGCTTGAAGCCCTGTCTGCTGGGCTTCTCAACACTGGCAAGTGATGTGTCCAGCTCACTGTCTTCCTACAGACACACAAACATGAGATGTCAGACACATAGACCTCAATAGGTGCAAAGATACAACACAATAAAGATAATTTGGATCAATCAGATCTTTATACATGAAGTAATTTATAGTTCGTTTAGATTGTAGTAGTATACCATATCCATAGTGTAGGGAACTCTTTAAAACAAATGCAGGTGTTAGTGTTTTTGGGGAGAATGTTCTGGGTTACACGAATAATTCCCATGGTGCAGTTTGACTGTTGATTCAAGTATCCCTGACCCACTGTGCAGGACAATTACTCAACAGACCCCTGTTCTTATATAGCAGATGGGGAACTCAGGGTGCCACATGCCAGGGAGCCCCTTCTTTGAACGTGTCTCTAAGGAAGTCATTTTCTTGCAATTCAATGACCTCCAGCTGCATTTCATCTTTGCAACTGGCCACATTTGCTTCAAATTGGCTTTGAGACAGTCTCATTTCTTATAACAGTTTTATCAGATGATCAGATGTAGCAATGTATAAAGACAAATAGACATACATTCATTTTTATGGGTAGATGATAGAGTAGCATAGCAAAATAACAAAAAATATTGTTAGCACATGGTGTAGAGTAGAAAAGTTACATTGACATTTCTACAGCAGCTTCTTAAAATGTGCTCAAACTTGCACTCTCTTCTTGACAATATCCCAACAGACACCAGTATCTACATCAGAGTGACTAACTCAATTATAGTAGCCAACTCTGGTACTGTGCTCCAGAGGATGTGTCAATAGTCAGAGCCCTGGAGCAGAGAGATGTACACCCCCCCCAACACTGTTCCTGGGGCAAATACTGACCTCGGAATCACTGACCTCTCCTAGATGACTGAAGTTGTCCCTCAGAAAGTCAGCCACAAATTTAATGTCATGTTGAGTCATCTGTTGGAAGAAATGGAGAATTATGGTCACTAAATTTATGACTCTGATGTGCATATATCAATTTACTCATACAAAAACTATCTGTATGTAAATATAATCTGCCTGACTACTTATGCTAAGCAAACAAGCAGTTCTAGAAAGTGAATAGAGAACAACTTAAACAGAGAAGAACCTGCTACCATTTCTTTATATCAAGATTGTTTTCTACAGATTGCAACCATGCACCTATTCTACCTATAAACGTGCAACAGCTCACCCTAATTGCACTACAAATCTTCCATATGCCTGCAACAAGACAACTACTCTTTATAACAACTCTTCACATAACCATCAGACAACTCTCCTTGATACATTACAACTACAGTCCCTACAATCACACAACACTCTAACTTTAAAATAATCCTATATAACTAATACAGTTTTATTTTTTGAGTTAATACAGTTTTACCTTGTTAATATCAGGAGGTAGATTTTCATTGGACAGTCGGAGAATAGCTAGAAAAATAAAATGTAATGAATATAGCAATTATTCCTTTTCATCTTACTACTACTGGACCATAGGTAGTTTATGGACTTGTTCTTTTTAAATAATTGGATTTTGAAATGTGAACCCACCTATGTACAGCCAACGAAAAAATGCCTTGAAGTTTTTTATGCTTGTATCTATCACTCTATACAAATTGGGATAAAAAATACATGTGTTTATATTTATAATGCAAAAGAGGCAATATAATTAGGTATAATAAATGGAAACTAGTAGGCCCTATATAACATATAGTTAGGTATAACATTTGGAAACCAGAAGAGCCTATACAACATGCTAAAAATGCGTGGCTGCATACTATTTTTGGTAAGGACATGGGCAGGTAATCAGTGAAATCAGCTGACACACTAATTTCTAAACCTAATGCATATAGTTATAATTAAGTTGAGCTTAAAAATAAAAAATGGCTTACGTAAAATCAATAAAAACTTACCGGATTGAAACAAACATGTTGGTAATAATTCTGATAGATTACATTTTCAGATTTTAAAATACTTTTGTTTTTACAATATTTAACTGAAAACCACTTAAAAAAACCATTTAAATTGTAAAAGAAAAACCAAATTGTTAAAAATGTGTTCTATCTGTTTTATTTGTATATGTATTCAGAATAACAAGAGAAAATTTGATCAATTTTAATAATAATTAAGAAAGTTATTTCAATGTTAAAAAGGTAAAAAAAATCCAATAAGGGCCACCATGACATTGGCAACAGCAGGAAATTTTTCAACCATTTTTTTTATTTTTGGGGTTAACTTTTGAATTGTAACTATACGTTAAATATGATAGCAATAGGTTTAGAAATAAGCATTTTAGCTAATTTGGTGCTGATCACCCATCCATGCCCTTAAACCTGTGGTTTAGTCTATACACAACACTTTAACAAAGCAGCTGACACAAAAATGACACTGGCCACACAAATTTATAACGTAAACTCAAGAAATGTCTTACTGTTGGAGTTCACTGGCACTGATAGCAAAGGCTCCAGCCATCTTGACAGCCTTCTGTACTGTGGCAGTCCCCAGCCCCAGAACCCCAAACTTGTCGTACCACTGGGACATGCCGTGGAGGTCACTCAGGTGAGAGGTTATGTTCTGGCTGACCCTGAACATAATAAAAAATTTAAAAAAAATTAAACAATTTAAAATGTTATCAGAAAAAATATTTTATATATACTTGGATGTAAGACTGCGTGGCTTAGCTGTAGAGGGCTAGACAGCTAACTGAAAGTCTAGAGGTTCAAATCTAGGTTCAATTCTGTAATGTGTCCATGAGTCCACCCAGCTTTAATGATTACCTAACTGAAGTTAGGAAATGTTAAGGCAGTTGAGCATAGTACTGACCGCACTATCCCTTCATATGTCAAGGTCACAGATACAAGTGAACTCTACTTCACTTGTCCCATGGACTGCCAGATTTGAAAAGGGAACTTTCCTTTTTACTTTCTCGTATATACGTAGTATAGAGAAAGTATTGTAATCGTGCAAAAAAAAAAATCGAGATTTTTACAAATCTCGACGTTTTACACCTCACTGATACGGAAAAACATAATTTTGCAATCTTGTCCGTATGTCTGTGTGTGTGTGTGTCTGTGTGTGTGTCTGTCCGTGTGTAAACACGATAACTTGAGTACCGTTACAGCTAGGTTGATGAAATTTCATATATAAGTATTTTATCAAAATCGTAGATCCGTATCAACTTTTGAGCGATTTCCGATAACCGGAAGTGGTACTTTTCCCACTTTGAATTTTTTAAAAGCCTATAACTTGAGTACTATTTCAGATAGATAAATGAAATTTCACATGTAAGTAAAAGATCTAATTCTCTACCTTCTGTAAAATTTTGAGTAATTTCCGTTGATTGGAAGTAGTAATTTACGCTACTTCCGATTTCTCAAAAAACTAATGTAAATTTTAAAAGTACTAATAATATTGCGCACTATTATGCGCTTTTTTTATTTGCGTTCACTTGGTGTGCAATTAATTTGTCTACGAGATTTTATTCTATTTTTAAAACTTTAAGTATTTAAAATGGATTAAAAATCATGTCCATAGCCCGAGTTTCCATCCCCTGTTATTTTATATAAGAATATTCGAGAAAGTTTAGGGGAGATCACTCCCGGTTTATTTTTTTACTTACTATTATATGTAAATAGATTTCTCTAGATGAAAAAGGCTATTGGTTAGTTGTTTCTGTGTTTAGTAATTAATATCACCCAGCAGCTTTCTGGATATTTTAAAATATATAGTTCAAGTGCTAAGTTGCTTGCTAAACCCTAATAGCAGTGTATTTATAGACAGGTGCTATGTTTCATGTTAAACCCTTATAGCAGTGTATTTATAGACAGGTGCTATGTTTCATGTTAAACCCTTATAGCAGTGTATTTATAGACAGGTGCTATGTTTCATGTTAAACCCTAATAGCAGTGTATTTATAGACAGGTGCTATGTTTCATGTTAAACCCTTATAGCAGTGTATTTATAGACAAGTGCTATGTTTCATGTTAAACCCTTATAGCAGTGTATTTATAGACAAGTGCTATGTTTCATGTTAAACCCTTATAGCAGTGTATTTATAGACAGGTGCTATGTTTCATGTTAAACCCTTATAGCAGTGTATTTATAGACAGGTGCTATGTTTCATGTTAAACCCTTATAGCAGTGTATTTATAGACAGGTGCTATGTTTCATGTTAAACCCTTATAGCAGTGTATTTATAGACAGGTGCTATGTTTCATGTTAAACCCTTATAGAAGTGTATTTACAGACAGGTGCTATGTTTCATGTTAAACCCTTATAGCAGTGTATTTATAGACAGGTGCTATGTTTCATGTTAAACCCTTATAGAAGTGTATTTACAGACAGGTGCTATGTTTCATGTTAAACCCTTATAGCAGTGTATTTATAGACAGGTGCTATGTTTCATGTTAAACCCTTATAGCAGTGTATTTATTTACCTTTGCAGCTGGCGAACCACAAGTTTTTGAATGTTTGAATAGGAATTTTCAATAGAGAAGCCAAGTTTCTTCAGACCCTGAAAATATAAAAATAGAATTTTCCATCTGAAATACAGACATGAATAAAGGCTAGAATAGCTACAGGTATCTCTTTGCCTGTTTTCCTGCCCGTCATTACAAGGATAAAAATTGTAAGCTGTGGACAAAACATTGTGTAACTGATATTTTAGTGTAATTTAATTTTTGTATTTACTTATAAATATTTGCGCCCCACCACCCTGCACACCCAATAATTTTTTTACTGGTCAGACCCAGAACCAAGAAATAATGACAACTACACTAATGCTAGTGGTATTAGAAATGGACATGAATATTTTAATTAAAAATAAACATAATTAACTTACCTTATCTGTCAAATCTTGAAGCAGAAAAGATTGTAGCTCCAAGCTAAATATTTTAAAATATTTAAAAAATTAAAAAGGTTGATTAGCAATTAATATTAGACAGATTGGCAGTTAATTATAGACATAATTCAAACTAGCACGTATTTTAAAAAGTCAAAGTAAGTTCATTAAATTAAAACATGGTGATACAAATGAAAGGGATATATTGAAAACTATAACACAGATATAACTACAGCCTATGCTAAAAACAGCTGGTTAAGACGGGGAAGCTCCAGTTATTTTATTACATCGATTTCTTTTTTTTTTTTAATTAATAAAAGATTTTAAAAAAGGAATAAGACAAATATTGAAATAGATGTGTTCATCAAATTTTAACAGTTATCTCCCGTCGTTTGATTGTATTCTGGGTTTGCTGTACGTTCATTGTATAATTATCTCCCTTCGTTTAATTGAGTTTACGGTGTATACATCATTTTCTTTGTTATCTCCCCTCGTCTGTCTAGAGTTCTATGTCCAATTTTCAAGAAGCAACCTCACTAGTAGATTTGTTGACAAGAGTTTGGTCTGTGTTATAGGCACGTCATATTCTTCTTCAATGTGTTCTCACCCATACAGCATTTTATGACACAAACAAAATCGTTTGGATTTTTTTAGCCACTTTAGCCAGCCCTTACAATAACTGAAGGACTCATACGTACGTGTAGTGTGTGTATATATAGTCGTTGCAGTGACACCTTTTGTTACCCTATTAGGTGTCACACGACTTTGTAATACTTCTGGTTCAAGGTCCAACTAAACATAAGTCATGTTCTATCTATCAGATTGATTTCATTTGGTATTCATCACACCGTTGAATCTATGTTAGGTCAATACTTGCTACAATTAGAGAGTTTACAACATGTAAACAATTTGGAAAAACAAAGTGACGTACCTAGTTGTCCCAAAGAGCAGCAGCTCCAGAAAGTCGTTGCTAATGGATCCTTGGTTACCTTGCTGGAGATAACAAGAAGAAAACAAATGTTAACATATACATAAAATACTGCTAATAATAGCCTCGATATTCAAATTTATTTGCATATGGGGATCTACTTTCTCAATAACAGAAGTACAACAGAGGCGTAGCGACCCCTCCCGGCGCCCGGGGCGAACTTTCAGTTTGGCGCCCCCATATATATATATATATATATATATATATATATATATATATATATATATATATATATATATATATATATATATATATATATATATATATATATATATATATGCGCGTGTGTTTGTGTTTGAGACAGTCTGGAAAAAAAATTAACAATTACGCTGATTGTCGTTCCCTAAAACTTCACTGGACGCCAAATTTAATTCCCCATAAGATGCCGAAACGAATAAAAAGTAGAAAATCAAAAGAGCTCGGATTTTGCCAGTGTGGACGATATAACTATTAAAAAGTGTTCGGTGATTGCGCATATGAAACTGGTTGGGTTCGGTACTCCAAAAAGTTAAGAACCACTGCTTTAGAGTGTATTTTGTAGAAGGTGCAAGCCTTATTTGGTCTACTTTTGGTCGTGTCTTTAGAACAATTTCGATAATAGTAGGCCAATATTGCAATTTTGAATTATCAGTTAGGTTGAACAAAGTAATAATCAGTACAATATATTAATTTTCTTCTCTCTTAAAATTTTGGCAAAGAGTGTCGCTTCCCATCCACCCGCTCCGACAGTCTGCTATTTTACTGATCGGATAGCGATACAAGAATCCATTATATTTATTTATCTTTAATGCAGTGATCCAGGCAAGATGTAATGCAATCAAGTAAAAGTATCTGATCTATCACGATCAAGTTGAGAGAAGAGAATCGTAAGAATCGTACAAAGAACTATTACTACTTAGCAAAACTGGGTAGTGAAATCGTACATTAAGTGTTAATACAAATGATTTCTTTTCTGAGTGTTAAAAGAGTTATCTAGCAACCGATCCAGTACAAATCCTGCTGTTTTTGTTGGTGAAAAGGCACCCCACCATCTTGGACAAAAATGAGCGGATTTTTAAACGTAACTAACTCTTTTTTATGTTACACAATCGTAAAATACGCTTTAGTTCAATGGGTTTCTTTTCTGAGTGATATCGGTTATTTATTCCTTAATCCGGTGTGAATTTTTCCGATTTTAGTCTTCGAAAAAGCGCCCCCCCCCCCCCCCCCCCCCCCATCTAGGAAAGCTGGAAAGCGGTTTTTCCGGTCATGGTTTCTTAAAGATATACGTTTTACAGTTACACAATCAAGGTAGAAAACAGTTAAATCAGTATACAAAGGCTCTCATCCGTTAAATTTCTTTACTTCGACTGTTTATAATTCAAAACTGCACCTTAAAATGAGCTTTTAATTTTTTTCTACCCCTTTTGGCGCCCCCCCCCCCCCTAGGGTCGGCGCCCGGGGCGGCCGCCCTCCCCTAGCTACGCCTCTGAAGTACAATAAGGGTTGGTTTCACAACTAACAGCAAGATGAGATATTGTAGTATTTCATTGATCACTGGGTCATGTTAACATTTGACTAGAATGTTAAGAGTTTAAACCTTGTGTATGTTAACATTTTACCGTTGGTTTTAGTCGTGTCAACATTTTACAACTATCCGCTCATTAACTCTGTAAGCTGACAGGACTTTTGACTAGATGGAGCCTAGAGGCTTAAGTTTTTCGACTTGTTCAGATGACCACAGACAGGGGTGGATCTGACTGGGTAAAGTCACCACAAAAAGTAAAACCTTAAAATAGTTTTATGGTAGTTTTGTAGAAATGGCGAGATCAGTGTTTACATCTGGTAGATAGATTTCAGCCATAGCGTCGTCTAAGGTGTCGTCCATAAATGACGTAACACACAGGGGAGGGGGGGGGGGGGCTCGTAACTTTTGTGACGATGTATGATGGGGGGGGGGGGGAGGATTCAGATAGTGCGACGTCACGCATTAGCTTTTTTTTTCTTAAAAAAGGAATGTTAGATACTCAAGTTTCAGCCGTTATTTCGCGAGTAAACTTTCTTGTAAATTGTAATTGAAATTGATTGATATACTCAATGTAACCGAACTCAGTCAATATTTTTGAAAAAAAAAAAAAGATGTCTCAAAAACAAAAATGTAACTGTAATTCTAAGAGGGGGATTGTTGGCTGAGGTGTGACGTAATTTTATGGGAGGGGGGGGGGATACGGCTTTTTGTGACGATGTGTGATGGTGGGGCGGGGGGGGGGGGGGGAGGATGAAAATCGTCAAAATCTTTCCACATCGCCAGCCCAGCCATTACCCCTCCCCTATGGAAAAAGTAGCTGCTAGTGTAGAAGTTCAAATAAAACACGGACTTATGCTAATCCTCTCTGGTCTTGATGTCTCTATCTCCCCTGCATGACCTTTGACACTGAAGATGGTATCGAGGCGAGGACGATATGATCTTCACGCAGGTCATTGGGGAATTGTGTCAATGTAAATATTGCGAATCATCGCGGTAAATGTGGGAACTAACATTCAATGTAAATGTATCTTATCCCTACTGTAAATATGGGAACTAGCATTCAATGTAAATATTGCGAATCCACCCTGGTATATGTGCGAACAAGCAGAAGATTTGGTAGCCATTGTTGAAGGTTAACTGGAGTTGTTTGTTTTGTTTTTTAAAAAAAAGGTTTGTTGGTCTACTTAGCTGAGGCGATCTAATACTAAGGGAGTTAAACATGAGGATAGAAAAAAGGGGAGACAAGTGCAGTGAGGACTGGACCACACCACACACTTGACTCAGATGTTCATGTTAATTATCTTAATGATTGAGGTTATTCTGCTCTGATGACAATAGCAGCCCTTGGTTTTTAAAGACAACTTCTGTATTAGCATCCCTAGATCATTCGATCGGATGAACTACGGAACGAGTAGGCCTACATCAAAAGTTTTGACTTTTTTTTTTCTATTTTTTTTTTTTAAATTTAGCTTTTAAGAATTTGATACAGTAGTGTAGCTAGCTTTTAAATAATTTTTAAGTAAAGGTCAACCCGAGTTTACAAAAAATTAATGTTTTACGTTGTATATAGAAATCTAATGTTATTTGAGGTTTATTGTTATTGATTCAACGTTTTTGTATGGTCTTTGGATGCGAACTGAATGTTAGAAAGAGAGGGTGTGTTTGAATGGTTCTTTGACGATGTTTTCAGTCCCAGCAATTTTATTTCCAATTGAGGCGAGTCAACCAAGCGTGCTAGCCGCTGACCAGATGAGCGGCACGTCTTTGATCTTGGAGGTCATCAAGCGAGGCTGAGATAACATTGTGCCAGCTCTGGTCAAGCCTGGACACTGAAGACACCTGTGTTGTTACATGGGATTCTAAGATTGCTATCTTTGCATTTCTCATCTCTTTAACCTTAAGCAGTTTGGGGGCGGGGGTGAGGGGAGGGGGTAAGGGGGTTGTATAATGATAAAAAAAATATTTAATTGTAAAGAAAATGTTAGTCGAGCTAGTAGTACACGTATTATATAACGATGAGGCGTTTATTCTAATAGTAAAGGTAAAAACGGTATATGCGGAAATAGAGTCTTTTCAAATTAAATTAGCCATCTGTACCCGTTACACGTGAATTATAGGCCTATATTGTTTTGTTATACTTATTTGGAAAAAAATAATTTATAATATAGTTATTGGTCAAAACGCTAATTGCTTTACTACAAATTGAACAATTTTAGTGTCAAAGAAAATAAATAATTTAATAGCTAAAAATAACAGGCTAAATTACAATCAAATTAGAATTTATATACGTTATTAGTCAACACAACACCATATTAAATACGGACACCGATTAAGAGACTTAAATGATGCCGTTAAAAACCCGGCTGTTCAATGGTATTTGTGTTGTTTTTTAAAGTAATTTGTATTAGTTTTGGCCGAGAAAATTGTATACATTTCATAGCATATGTCTTAATATAGAACTCAAAAATCAAATTTAAGATATAGTTCATTTCTTCATATTCTAAAATTGGAAGATAATTCCATTAGTGTTGTGGACTTTCCGTAGTTTAAACATGTGACATGTGACGTCAGTGTTTTTTGCATTATTGTCACAACAGTAAACACTTTTCCGGTTGCATAATTAAAAATGTGTTTCTATATTCGAATATGCCTTTTTTTATTTTCCTTCTTTAAATAAAAATTAGTTTACACATTTAAAGCATCCAACATATTGTTTTCAACAAAAGTCCGTATCTTTAAGTTCTCCATATATCGCTGAACATACTGATCTCATACCTTCGGGAAATTAGATGGGGGACAGAGAGAGAGAGAGAGAGAGAGAGAGAAGTGTGCACATGGGCTATTATATATTAGGATAATTGTTCTTTTCCGTTTTGAGGTACATGAACCTCAATGTTTCCAACAGTTAAATCTCGTGTACGCCATCTTCTTAAATAATGAACTAAAAATAGTTCCCCACTATAAAGGTCTTTATAACGGACATCACCAGAGGCCAAACGGTTCCCTCAACGTCAGGTGAGCGCAGTAGTAAATCTTGGCATGGGAAGCTGTGAGTAACACCCCCCCCCCCCCCTCGCTAGAGATAACAAGATGTCCGCTAAGTCTAGACTAGTCAGGGAATTCCCGTAACCCCACATGCGCGTAAACAAGAACGGTGCGTCGTTGTGACGACAGCCGCGGTCCAACTAAAGAACGGGACAGAGAACAACGGTTTCAGACGGAGGGGGGGGGGGGGTGTGATACGGCGGTTATTTCAGTCTTTTCTTTAATGGATGCGAAAAATTCTTTATTCGTGAGAGAAGAAAATAAAGCAACGCTGGCCAGCACTCACGCATAGTTCTGAGATTCTCTGATTCAACAGTGCATGCTTTCATGTAATGATTACTGTAAACTATCTCTTTTAGTGAGAGAACAATCGTGTTTACCTTCAAACACTGTCAAACATCAGTGCACTTTGTTTCATCAAATATCAGTACACTTAGTTTCATCAAATATCAG